TGAGCCCCATTTTGAGATAAAAACGTATTTTTGAATAGTAATTTTTTTTGAGAATGCGTGGTTAAAAATGAAGAATTTTTTTTTTTCGATTTACGTGTAATATTATTTTATTGAAAATTTTGTGGTTGAAAATGAGTTTTGAAAAAATAATTTTTTGATGAAATGAGGCTCAAACAAGGGCTAGATCACATTTTAGATGACGCTTTGAATTTTTTTAAAGGAGGGTTATATAATTAATCAATCGACCACGTCATTGAGTTTTTTTTTATGCAACATACTAAGCTCTTGTTTGGTGGGGGATTGAAGTAATTTTTTAGCAAATTTTGATAAAAGTTGATGAAACGTGTGGTTGAAAAGTTGTGGATGTGGATCTCAGAAAATATGTGGTTAAAATTAATTGTTGATCTTAACTTAGATTAAAATATGAATTTTAATTTTTGTCAAACAGGAACTAATACTATTTCACGCTTTTCATATAATTTCGCATTTCCCTTTTCCATGTCCAAATGAATTGTGTTTTGCATCCATATATGTTTCTTATTTTGGAGTAGGGAAGAGAGCACACACATTTTCCCCATCCACTGCCTATTACCCCACAAATTGCTATATGAAAGCTACTTGCACTTTTTGAAAAGTGTGTAATTAATAACGATGATGAGGCTTTAGGTATATATGCTACTCCAATATCTAACCTACTGGTAAAATCTGTCCTACCTCCAATTTAATTTCAATTGTACTACACGAACATGTTCAAAGATAGGATCAAAAATATGGGAGACACACGTCGACGCATAATTGCACAATTTGAAAAAAATAAAAACACAACACTCAATTATTATCTGCCACATCACCATGTCCTTTCATCCCTATCCTTGAACATGTCCAAATAGTATTATTCATCCAATTTACCTGTAGATATTGCTCTCCACCAATAGGGTATCAATGGTTGCAACTACACGCTTCTAGAAAATTAATTTCTAATCAATGATGCTATATATTAAGAAGATTTGGAAGGCTCGTGTTCCAATTATTTATTTGATTGGATTGAATTGAATTGAATTGAATAGTGTGTATTTAAAATGTGACGTAGTGTAATCCCACTAGTAAAATGAGTTCAAAGCTGACACAACCAAGGAACAAAACAAGGTACAATAATGCCACTGCGAAGACAAAAGTCATAAGAAACTCTCTGGCACTATCCCCACTAAGATTAGATGGAGACCTAAAAATTCGGTTTATATTCAGATCCTTCAAAAAAATTAGGTGATGTTATCCTGGTGCCTCTAGTTTCCTAGAACAAATAAGATGGTTAAATATGGAACAAAGAAAAAAGGGCCTTGAAATTACACCATGTATATTTGCAAACAAGTGGCCTATACGTTTTTTTGCAAGCTGTGACATGGCGACAGGTTGCCCAATTTTAGCTGGTGTCGTGACCTTGCTTGTCCTAAGTATCAAGTGTTAGTCTAGCTCGTGGTAGGTATCTTTCTCTTCTCCACCTAAAGGGAGATAATAATACAAAATATAGTTTAGTTAAAAATAATATTAAATATGAATTTATTGTTCTCTTTCTGAGAATGGTCTCTCCTTAAGGCCTAATTTAGTATTTGTTAAAATTTTATTTCAAATTTTAAATTAACATTTGAGCATTTGATAAAAATATATTTTATTTCAATTATTATATAAAATAACTATAATAGGTATGGATTATACTGTAAATTTTTTATTTTTATTTTTATAATAATGTGTACTATTATTAAATATTTATTGAAGACAATAGTCATTTTGGAATGGGAAAAATTAATATCTATCTTCAAATTCAAAATTTTGTAGAATTAGAAAATATATTTAAAATGTCAACGATCCATTAGAAAATAGAACATAAAGGAATGTTATTATAGAATATATTTACGATCTGTTTGTTTCGGATTAAAATCAAATTTTAATATTAAGCCCATGTTTGGCATTCATTCTCTTTCTTATTTTTTTTTTCTTCTTCTTCTCAACCACATAATATCCAAATAAAATAATATTACACACAAATCTAAAATTTTTCATCACTTTTCCATTACACAATCTCCCATTAATTACTATTCCAAATTTTTTCAACCCATTAAAATGGATGTCAAACACTCACGTTAATGTTAAACAACCAATATTAACCACATTTTTCATGGGTCCCACAAATTTTTTACCACACATTTCAAAAATTTCTATCGCAATCTACTAAAAATTTAATTTTAATCCCTACCAAACACCCACTTATTGTGAATGATAGATGAGACTTTATTATTATAAAATAGAAAACCAATAAATCTAGAATAACAACAAACTTAAATATAAAAAGAAATTAATTTTATTCATAGGTTAAAATTAATATTTCAATAATAATAAAGATAATCATATTCACACAACATCTTAATTGTGGTCAATGTCTTTAATCTTTGCTTATTTCTGGACTTATGTCCTAACTTTTTTGTCAAATTCTTGTCAACAATTTGCTATTCAATCATGCTACAATTATATTGTTTTTGACATCAAATTTGACATTATACCACATGTTGCAACACGATTGACCAGTTTGAAAATACAACACACTTTCCCGTCACTCCATTTTTGAATTTGCAAAGGAGTGTCAAACTCCATGTACACAAGGATTGTACAAGGAGCATAATTCTTTTCTTTTAATTTGTACATCTTTCTCCAGTGATAGTCTCCATCAAAAGAAATTGTTAGGACATAAAACGACTTAATCTCTCTTAATTTTAATTAATCGAACAATAAAATATTTACCCCTTATATTAACGCGTGTTGGGAAAATATTTTGGAAGAAATCGTCATTAGAGACAAGATACGTTAATTAATTGAAGCTTAAGGATAAAAATGCGATGGATATAAGTGAAAAATTTAAAAGTATTGAGGATCTTCATTGAAATAACAAAAAGTGTAGTGCGAATATAATTACTCAAATCGATAATTGTGCATGATGGATGAGACTTTATCATTGTAGAATAGAATACAAATAATGTAGAATAAATAGAAAAAAAATTATTCATGTGGCGTTTTAATAATAGATAATTGGAAAATAAAACTTCAAAGCTGACAGTGACAGATTACTGTAGGTTAAAAAAAAAAAAAATGCTGTCTATAAATACCAGCGTTTTGAGAGCCATTTACATATAACACTGCCAGAATTAACGTAAAGATGGGAATGATGGAGGAGAAGGTTTATCATGTTGAAAAGAAAAAGGGTGGCCTCATCACTATGCCATTCATATTTTGTAAGCTTATACATCAACTCATGTAGATGAATTTTCGTCGTAAGAGCCTGTTTGGCATGCTTTTGAAAAGTCAAAATGAGTTTTTGAGATTCAAAAACTATTTTGGACTAGTTTGACTAACTATATGAAAGTATTTTTACTAGTTAGAAGAGTTTTTAGAGAAAGATGTTCAACGCAACTTTCTTTAAAAGTACTTCCAGAATAGAAATCTCTTTTAAAAATTGGTTTCCAAACAAAAATCAAGGTAATTTTCTCCAAAAACTCTTATATAGGAAGCAAAAACAAAAGCTATGCCAAACGGGCCATAAATCTGTGTAGTTTCCTTGTTTGTTTTTCGATATTCACTATGTTTTTATTACCTGAAGAAGGGAACGGAGCTTAATCCCTGACACCATGTTTTCGTGCAGCAAATGAAATATGCGAGAAGTTGGCAGTGGTTGGTTTTAGTGCAAACATGATTAGTTATTTAACAAGCCAGCTACATCTACCACTGACTAAAGCAGCCAATACTCTAACAAACTTCGGCGGGACTGCAGCCTTAACTCCGTTGCTTGGAGCATTTGTTGCCGATGCCTTTGCCGGAAGATTTTGGACCATATTAATTTCTTCCATTATATACCAAACAGTTAAGTTTCTCTTCTGTTATCTTCTTTAGAAAGAGAGGACAAATGCACATGAAATTTTCTTATTTTCAATTGTTTTGACAGAGACTTTTTTTTTAAAGCTTAGTTACATCATTGGAAATGATTGCCGTCTTGATGTTTTTCTCTGATAAATTCATAATAGAAACATACATTAGTTTTGATGCACATGTACCATATAAATTTTGCATGTGACTTTTCAGAGTGATACCAACTAGGAAGAGATGCAACCTATTGTCAACAGGCAAATAGCCAATTCCAGACATCAAAACAGGTCCCGACGCTTAGGTTCGTAAATCTTCCTAGTGGATCATCGTGGTCTGCAACACAACTTCTAATGCTAAGGATCCTCAGATTCTGGATACTAGTGAGAAAATAGAGAAAACTACAACTGTCAGAAAGTAACAAGGAGAATAAAACTGTTGAAGACACAATTTAAATAAATAAACCTGCCTGATCTCTAACACCCAGCAAGGATCCTGGTTATTTATGGAAACTTTGCACGGGTGACACTTGGATGAATAGAATAAATAGGAGATGGTTCAATAAAACTATAATCAATGTCTTTATGCATAATTTTTGAACTTTTTCTTAAACCTTTCTTGTTTCTTCTTCTTTTCCATTTCTTTTTAACATATTTTTGCTAATTATTGTATCATTTTATGTACCAGGGGATGATTAGCTTAACCATATCATCAGTGCTGCCTAAACTAAGGCCACCCCCTTGTCATGCCAATGAAGTTTGTAAAGAAGCTGATTCCGGCCAACTCGCTGTCCTCTACATATCACTTCTTTTGACAGCAATAGGTTCGGGGGGCATTCGGCCCTGTGTCGTCTCGTTCGGGGCTGACCAATTTGACGAGTCCGATCCTAAGCAAAAAACCACAACATGGAAATTCTTCAACTGGTACTATTTTTGCATGGGGGCATCAATTCTGGTGGCAGTGACAGTACTTGTTTATATTCAAGATAATATTGGATGGGGATGGGGACTTGGTATACCCACATTTGCAATGGCTCTTTCGATAATTGCATTCGGATTCGGGTATCCTCTGTATCGGAAACTAGATCCTACTGGCAGCCCATTTACGCGACTTCTACAAGTGTGTGTGACTGCATATAGGAAGCGTAACACACCAATGGTTTCGGACGCTAAATTGCTGTATGAAAATGGGGAACTTGATGCTGCTTTATCTATTGGTGGGAAGCTTATTCATACTGATAACTTGAAGTAAGTCTCCGTACATTTTTTCTCTTCTGTTTTTTAACACCAAATTTCTTCGCACGGAGTGAATAACATGATTTTAAGGGAGGGAATGAAAAAAAATGATCTTTAAAATCTGATTTAGAAGTAGAATATAACAATAGAATGGTGGTGTCAACTCGACTCGATCATTAAACTTACTTATTAGTCATTTTCTAATCTTAGATGTACACGTTCCATCTCTCGGAATGCAATCTTTAATTACATGTCCAGTTTGGGTAGCACTGAAGGTTGGTCAAAACGTGCTGGATGTAATGGCTCGATCCGCCATACACCTCTATATATAAACAAGGCCTAATACAGTAACATTGTATAGTTGTCGTCCTTGTGGTCACCTTACGAAGATTATTCACACCTATCAATGGCGTATAATTTCCCTCGTATCGAAGTTGCTCTTTTCATAAGCCAACAAAGGTGTCAGTCATTTTCTCAGACAACGATTATTGGAAAAAACTCAAAAATTCCCTAGTCCATGATTTTTAATTTTTGGTTGGAAACTACATGGAAAAATTTGCTGAAATGATGTCTTGTGATCGACAGATTCTTGGACAAGGCTGCCATTGTGACAGAGGAAGACAATATCAAAGCACCCAACCCATGGAAACTCAACACAGTCCACCGGGTTGAAGAACTAAAATCACTTATCCGTATGGGACCAATATGGGCAGCTGGAATTCCTCTTATCACAGCCTATGCTCAACAGGGCACATTCTCCCTCCAACAGGCCAAAACCATGGACCGACACCTAACAAAATCCTTCCAAATCCCTGCTGCATCAATGACTGTCTTCACTCAGACATCAATGCTTTTGACAATCATCTTCTATGATCGAGTATTTGTCCCTGTTGTTCGTCGATTCACAGGGATCGACCGTGGAATCTCATTCCTTACTCGAATGGCTATTGGCTTTTTCATTTCATTGATTGCCACATTTGTTGCTGGTTTCATTGAAGTCAAGCGTAAAGACGCCGCATTAGCGTATGGACTAATTGACAACCCCCACACCATAATCCCAATTTCTGTTTTCTGGCTAATACCACAATATTGCCTACACGGAATAGCCGAAGCCTTCATGTCCATTGGGCATCTTGAGTTTTTCTATGATCAGGCCCCGGAAAGCATGAGGAGCACTGCCACTGCCTTGTTCTGGTTGTCGATTTCAGCTGGGAACTACATGAGTACTCTTATGGTTAGCCTTGTGCACAAGTACAGCGCAGGAAATGGGGGATCAAATTGGCTTCCGAACTCTAATTTGAACAGGGGGAAGCTGGAGTATTTCTACTGGTTGATCACACTGTTGCAATTCATCAACTTGGTTTACTATCTTTGTTGTGCTAAATTTTACACTCTCAAGCCAATTCAGGTTCACAAGGCAGAAGATGATCAGCTCAAAGAAGACCGAATCGAGCTAACTAGCCATGTGTGATGGTGTACTATAGTTGGTGTTTGTTAGGTACTAAGGTTTAGCAGGAAAAATCTTATACATATTTATGTTTGCATGACATAAAATGAATATATTTTCATTTTCTGTTCTAATGGAATAAAGTGAATCAAAGCAGCAAAGAACTTTGCAATTATATGATCTAAGACCGTCTTACAAAATGGTTAACATTCAGCCAACGATTTACGTACAAGATGCAATGAAAATATCATCTTCGACCTTTTTTACAGTGCAATTCACCCCCTACTGGCTTATGAAACTGAATGACTTGAATAGATTGTAAATCAAGTTGACAAATTGCATTCGTCAGCCAATTTGAACGTCCATGCCCTGCACTTGACTTGTGCATACGGTTAATCAAAAGAGTACTCGTTTAGTTCCCAGTTGAAATTGACAGCCAGAGCAAGGAAGTGGCAGTGCTCCTCAAGCTTTACGTGGCCAAATGTTAGAAAAACTAGAGGTCACCTATAGGGGCAGAACCACCTGAGGCCCCGTGGTGGGGTTGTGGAAAAGAAAAAAAAATGATGTATCCAATTGTCGAGTGTGATACACCAGGGAAAAATAGGAACTTATAAAGAAAAGAGAAAAACAGATTGAAGGGGCACCGATTTTTTAGGCAGTCACCTATCTAGCCATCAAAAGTTGGTATTTGGAAGTCATTTTGATGGAATTATTACTTAATTTGATTAAGTATTGATTGTTGTAGGATTAACTCGGATTTGGATGAATTTTGTTGAAAAGAATTAAAACCCGATCAAAGAAGGTTGAAAAAGGAAAATCTTCTCACTATTTATGGAAACAAATTAGAATAAGGATTTACCTAAATCTTGTCCTATATGTACCAAAATTCATCCAACAATAAAAGGGCACCTCTCACACCATAGAATAGACAATTTTCCTGCAATTAAGATAGGTTTTGCCAAAAAATCCGTTCAACTCGAAACCCTTGGAGCCCCGCCCTGAACAGGGCTGAGATTACCTGCCTAATCGAGTAAACGGGGTGGGGACGGGGCAATGGTCATTGCCCCGAAGCGGGTACGGGAATCATAGTCCCCGCCCCGCTACCCGTCCCGTTTAAAGTGAATTTTACATTTAAGTTTTTTATCAAACAAAAATAATATATTTATCATATTTTTAAAGAGAATATAAGTTATTTTTAACAAATTGGCAAAAAGTAATAATATTTACTAAATAAAGACATAAAAAAAAAGAAAGAAAAAACAAATGGGACGATAAATGGGGCAGGGGACTCGCCCACCCTCCTCGTCCCTCTTTAAACGGGTACGAGGATGGGGTAAGGTAACAAAAATACCTGATAGGACCAGGGTGGGAATGGACGATCTCGTCCCATTGCCATCCATAAATTAAGAGAGGTAAAAATCATTCTTTCAAGGAGAATTAAGTAACAAGATAGAAGGAAATCCATTCTTGAAGATTATTTCATAGTTTTTGGGGGCAAAGAATAAGAATGTGCAACTAGAGATTGATCAAAGGACTTGAAGATATTCAAGAATTCGTGATTTCTTCTCTTTTCTTCATATTTCTCAAAGTTCGGTGAAAAGGAGAATTGTTTCATTTTTCTTCTCGAACTCTTTTGGAACTTAGTTGGAACACGAATTTTGACTTAATGTTGTTGATAACTGCATTTTCCAATACTTATTTTGCCACAAAACATGATTAATTGTTGACAAAAGTGTTTTGAATATGACTTAATTATGCATTATTTCATTTTGTAGCACTATATTGATGGATGTGGTCAATACAAAAGAAAAGACACAAAAGAAGACCAAAACGGAAGAGAACGAAAGTTTAGGGAGAAAAGTACAAATAGCCGAAAGACGACCCAAAGCACGAATTGAGAACGTAAAACAGCTAAGTACTAATTCGAGGAGTACAAGGGATGTTAGAAGAAGCAGAGTTAAGAAAGGGGTTAAAATGAGAGAAAATAATGTTCAAGGACTATATTGGAGGATTTTCTCTACTATGCGGCCGCATGGTAGAACTCTCCATGTGGTCACATGGGAGCATGCAAGAAATTCAGGTGCCCTCGCATAGCTCATAACCATGCGGCCGCATGGTAGTTTTTTTGACGTGAAATTTCTGGTTTCCTTATTCCGTTCAAACACTTTAGGAAACGAATCTTGTGATGAATATAAAATCTTAGAGCCATCAAATACGAAGAAGAATGTATTTCAGTTGAAGAAGAAACCCTAGAATACACAATGAAGGAAATCTTGAGGCAAAAATACGGAGAGAAACACAAGATTGATGAGATTTCAAGCAGAATCTTGAATCGGTGATATCATTTCTTCAATTATTTGTGTGTTTTATTATTTTCTCCATGTTAGGCTAGATATTTCTATACTATGAGAACGATGAACCACGTGATGTAATTTTTTTAATTCCCGATTTTACAGTTTTGACATTAAAACACGTTGTTTGAATTTGAATGATTTATATACAATTATTTTTCTTCACAATTATGTGTGCAAATGATTGTGTGAATTTGGTAGCGTATTACATGTATTCAAGAGAAGATAACTAGCCTCGACAAGGAATAAATTATCGTAGGATCCAATCGGGGATAGAGATATACATGAATCTCTAGGTGTTCACAGAAATTCATGCATTCTTGTATATTTGTATTCGTCATAGGGATTTAGTTGGGTCGTATATGAGAGTAGGTTTAACATTACTCAAGAGAGAGTGCTGGATAGAACATGAACATTGATTCTTCAAATCTTCAACTGTGTTGTCAATTTGTAGAATTGGGATTAAAAGAGATCATTGCATGAGGATTCGTGATCCTAGTGCACCTTTAATTCATTAAATTTAACAACTCATTTTCTAGCATTGTTTTGCATCTTAATTCATGTAGTTTAGTCATATTCACATTCGTAAATTAGTTTAATCAAAATTTCCACCACAACATAAACGTGTTATTTTCTTGTTTCGGTTAAGGTCAAGATAGTGAAATTGAACTAAATCAATCCCTTGGATTCCACTTTATTACTTGTTACGAACCGTACACTTGCGGTGGTTTTTATTCGAGATATATTTTTTGGCGCTATTGTTGGGGACTGAGTATTAGTTTAATTTTATTTAATTTGACACTAATTCGAGCTTATCTTTAATTTTTATTTTACGTATTTTCTTTTATTTAGTCCTTCTGCTTAGGTTGATCTGAGTTCTACTGTTGCCATTTTTTCAGGTCTTGTATGGAAAGGTCGCTTGACAGTGAACTGTTTCCAGCTGATTTGAAAATTGAACGAATCTTTCATCGGAGGCAAAGGGAAGCTAGAGAAGCACATCAGGAAGACCAAGAACAAATTCCAATGGCTAATCAACAAATTGACCCAATAAGGAATCCTGCAATTCCAGCCAATGTAGAGGAAGAAGATGACTGGAACACCTGATGTGGAGATTTCTTGTCACCTTTCATCATTCAAAGTCAATCCAGTATTGTGTACCCCCTATTCGAGCAGTCAAACTTTCAACTGAAAACTAACCTCATCCAACTCTTCTAAAATGGGCATCAATTTTATGGGTTGGCTAATGAGAATTCGGATATAGATATATCCCGATTCTTAGATATGTGTCAACACTTCAGGTACCAAGGAATATCAGAAGATGCTATCAGGCTGAGGTTGTTTCTACACACTCTACGAGATAAGACACTCAAATGGTTGGATTCACTTATTGTGGCGAGCATAACTACTTCGAACGATCTGACTTTCAAATTCTGCCCGAAATTCTTCTCACCAACCAAAGTAGCAATATTGAGGCACGAAATAGCAATATCCAGTTAGGGTGAATCTAAGTCATTTGATGAGGCTTTGAATAAGATTAAAAACATGCTTCAGAAATGCCTTAAACATCGGTTTGACAGAAAGACACAGATCAGATGTTTCTATACATGATTACTTCCTTCTTTTAGGTTCATGGTGGATTCATCGTCAAATGGCTCCATAATCACAAGAATGGAATGGAGCAAGTGGAATATGAGCAATGGGGTCAATGTCAACAAAATAACCTACATTTTGACATTTAAAATCTTGGGTGGCGAAATCATCCAAATTTCTCTTGGGGAGGAAATCAAAGTCAAAATCATAGCAAGTCTCAAAGGCAGTATCAACAGAAGAAAAAACCCCAATTGGAAGAGATGTTTGCCAAATTAATGGAGAAGACCGACAAATACATGGAAACAAACAATCAATTTATGAGGAAGACCGAAACAACTCTCCACAATCAGGGGGTTACAATTAAGAACTTGGAGACATATGTGGGGAAATTAACACGTTCTATGACCGGAAGAGCTCCAGGTACACTGTCGAATAACACTGAAGTGAATCCTAGAGAACATGTCCAAGCCATTACTACAAGAACCGATGTTCAATTACCTGAAATACATGTGAAGAGACCGGTGCAAATAAAGAAACAGTATCGCCTTCTAATGAAGATCATGAGGAGCAGACTGACCAACTTAGTGAGACATCTACAAAAGAGACTTCAGATAGCAACCACACCTACAAATCCATATGAACCCCCAATTCCATTTCCCCAGAGGTTGAAAAAGTAGAAGATGGATCAGCAATATATGGAATTTTTGGAGGTTTTCAAAAAGCTTCACATCAATATCCCATTGGCTGAAACACTCACACAGATATACAGCTACGCAAAATTTTTAAAGGACATCCTATCCAACAAACGTAAGCCGGATGAACATGAAACGATAATGTTGACAGAGGAATGTAGTGCGAGAATTCAGAAAAAGTTTCTTCCAAAACTAAAAGATCCGGGGAGTGTTACTGTACCCTGCACTATTGGAAATTGTTATTTTGATAAAGCTTTATATGATTTGTGTGTCAGTATTAATTTAATGCCTCTGTCTATTTTCAGGAAACTTGGATTGGGGGAAGCTAAACCAACCACAGTGACTATGCAGCTAGCCAATCGATCACTTATTCATCTATGCGGAATCATTG